GCAGGAGACTGTCTACTATAGAACTCTCTGCAGTTCAACAATAACCAGGCCTACCTCTATCAAGTTAGAGTAGACCGCATCCCAGCAACATTGCCGCAGCAGCGTAACGGGCCTTACAACCCCGCGAAAATCCCTGAGCGAGTTGCAGGTGGTCAACGTGTTAATTAGCCATTTTGTACCAATTAAATAAATTTAACAAAATTGTCTAATCCGCCAGAAGAATGGAATTTTTCGATCCATATTCATTCGCATGGTCGTACTAACCTGAACTCTGGCCTCGGTCAGGTTAATCTTCATCGCCAGATCCTCCCTCGTGAAGACATCCGGGTAATGTGTCTGCGCAAACGCTGACTCTAGTTCCTCCAGTTGCTGAAGGGTGAACGTGGTTCTGTTTCTCCTTTGCTTTCGCCTCACGAAGGAATCCTCGCCAACTCCGTGCAGTGCCGGATGATACGCGGTGTAGCCAGTGTCTGCAACGTAATCAGAGCACGTATTCTGATTAGTATTGTTTTGCTCTAATTTCCACCCAGGGGAAAAATATATAACAATTCATGGAGCTCGATAAATGGTACGTAAGAACGTTATTGGGGTAGGTACAGGAACTTATTAACTTCAGAATCGATTTATTCGTGTAACCTTCACTTGGATATCAGGCAGATACGCTATGTCAAACCTGCTAAACAGATTTGTCAATTTAATATTTTAAGATTTAATTTATTATGCAGTGTAATAGCAGAGATCGTGTTCGTAATTTATGAATATTACCCTCTAGTGTAACGACCAGGTTAAGTTACTTCATGTAACAGGATTTAATATGGCGACTTTACGTGTAATTAGTTTTCTAGAGTTCTATCAGCTGTTTTTGTGTGAGAATTTTCTTCTTCCTAGGAATTTTGGAATATTTATTGTGGATGTTTGCGAGACTTTGACTTGATCACTTAATCATTGAATTTTCACGTGGCAATTATTTTTAGTAATTCTGGCGTGTTTTTCTGAAAATTACTTGTGGAATTTTAACCCTTTGCACTCGGCCATCTTTTCGTTTCAGAAACATAGTAATTCAAAGAGTTCCTGCCATAAAGTCGACGATATTTTCAAATCGGGAAAGAAGAAGTGCAAATTAACAATAAAATTATTTTATAATTAAAATAATTATTTAATAGAAAAAATTTATTTACAAAAAATTACAAAAAATTATTTAATAGAATTATTTTACTTCGATATTCCATGCGTTGTTGGGCAATTTTTAATTCGAGATATTAATTAATAACCATCTTTAAAATCTGATTAAATAGCGACTGAGAGTCGCCCCTCGAGTGGAAAGGGTTAATTTGTAGTTTTATAATATTTATAAGAACAAAAGTTCTGGGAGAGTGCTAAATTTTTTGGTAATTTTGGTATATTTTTTATTGAATATTACCTGTGGAATTTTATATTACAGGTATATAATGGATTCTAGATGAGTTCAGTTTGGAGTATAATTTTAAAAAATTACGAAAGTTACGTAGAATAATCTATATTTCCAATAATACAAGACCCAAACGTCCTCTCCTAAAATCCATTTTAACCCTTTGCACTTAAGAGGGGTCTTTCAGTCGCCATTTGATAAAATTTCGAAGCTCGATATTCATAAATGTGTCAAATTTCAGATAAAGTAACAGTATGCGAGGTATCGAAATCCAATAATTCTGCGTGTTAATTATCATACGATTTCTTATTCACTGCTCAGAAAAATATCGTCAGCTTTGTAACAGAAAATCTTTGAACTCCTATTCTTCTTTAGCCAAAAAATGGTCGAGTGCAAAGGGTTAAATATCACCCCTACCCATTTGATTCTAAACCAATTCACAAACTTAAATTCCCATAAAACTTCTACCATACTATTTTTCAAAACTTGAAAACTCTCTAATACACTCCCCAACAACCAAAGATACATTTATCAAACCCCAACACCAAAGTTAAAACCATCCTCGAACCAAACCCATACATCCTTAATCTCCAATATCCTGACCACCCACCCCCTCCAAAAAAAAAGAAGGAAAATCAAAAGAAAAAAGGGACTCTCACCCCCAATCGATCATTCCATCCGACCATCGTGCACCGCAGGTTTGACAAAAATTCGAAAGCGCCCTATCGCCTGGTGCATGATTTAACGCGGAATGGCTCGTTCGCGGGCCAATTACGAGGAACACACGGTTCGTCCGTTGGAAATGCGAAAAACGGGGGCTGGCCGAGGCACGCGCAGACAAAAGGACGGAGTGGGCCGAAGGGGACCGAAGGGAAACGATGGCGCAGCACGTACGACCCGTGCGAGCGAGACGGGGATACGGGCCGGAGTGGCCGCGAGAGAGAGACGGCGACAGGGACGGCCGGGTGGTGGGAGCGAGAGAGGCGACCGGGTGGGGGTAAACGTTACGAAAGCCAGAGAACCGCTTATCAATGATGCAGAGCAATCAGCGCAATTAATTACCGCGGCGCTAAGCCGGGGCTTAGCGAAAAACACAAATTAATTTCCTAAGCTCATAAAAATTCATGCGGCGAGCTCGCTGTCGAACACGGGCCTGCCCCCGCGAGTATCGACTGCGATGCTGCAATGGTGCACGCGTGTGCATCCACCTGCAAGATCGCGTTCAATTTCGGATTTTCGCTGCGATTATGGTTTTGTCTGCGTCCATCCGCGACGATGGGGTGTCTCGATGGCGGGTACTTTGGAACGATCTATTGTGTTTCTGGGGTGTTTAAATATGTTTTATTTATTTATTTATTATTTCTCTTTTTGTGCCTTGTTTCTTGTGAGGTTGTAACTAAGTATAAAAAATTGTTAAAATATTGAAAAGTAAAAAAATGGGGGTTTATGGTGTCTAAATACTTAGTTGTTTTAATAATTAGTGGTTCATTGATAATTCATTTTTTTATATAATCTATGAACTCTAGAAATATTATTTTGATTTTAAAAAAATTATTTAGAAACTGAAAATTTTGTTAAATAATATAAGAAATATCTACGTTTATAGATGGGGAGATGCTATTGCATTGAAATGATAAAATATTTAAGAACTGGTAAATATTAATCATTTTGTTATTAACCCTCATGATCCTGTGTAACTTTCGAGTCATATACTAATATATCGATATTTTATTAAACAATTTAAATTTTTCCACAAGATGGCGTATACGTCTTGTATTTTGTCTTTGGACACAAGTGCTGTCGGATGCATTGTAAGTCGTTGTTATTTTATAGCTATAATATGTATTCTTTATAACAAAATTGTTGAATTCAAAATATATATAATTATATGTATAATTCGAAATAATATTTATTCTTTATAAAAATTGCTGAATTCATATGTATAGGTTGATATTTGTTGATTTTACGTTGCATAAATTTTCGTATAGTCTTTAGTTAAACCTGTTTGCCTCTAATACTATGTGAAACTTGTAATAAGGAAATTGGCCCGAACGTAAACACGAGTGAGGCTTATAGTCAAGTATCACTGATGTCTTTCTACCTCAATTATGCATTATTTTTCTCCATGTCCAGGCGAAATGGCTCGACATGTGACCGACTCTACTACTGATTTTGGTACATACCATCGAAACTTAAATCGTAAAGTAAGGGGTTAATTTACATATCTACATATTACAGCCCTATTAATGTTATTAATACTAAAAAGCAAACATAAGATTTTTAAATAATAAGTTTGAATAAATAAATTTTGGATAAAGTCCATTTTTAATTTTATTTTACGTATCTTAAAAAATAAAAAGTATACTAAAATTGGAAATCATTATATTCTTCGTTTCTTATCTTTTATCAATGAGTGTATCTAAATTCGCAAAAATTTCTACCAAGATTAATAAAAATTTGGCATTCGATCATAACAATACCTTACAACCTCCAAACCTTGAACCTATATGTACGCTTATATTTAATTCCAAAATTTCATATAAAATTCAATGCGATCGTCGTCGCGCTTTCTAATTTAATTTCCTCGAGGCGGTTCGGCGACGTTCAATTCCGCGCGTTTTTCGCATGGTTAAATCGAAAATCGGTGGCTCGTAGGAAAGCGAAAACTCAGCAATTCGATTGCGTCGGCACGTCTGTTCTGTTTGCAACAAGTCATCCACACCGGAAACCAACTTTCATAACTACCACGGAACAATTATACCGTCGGGCAAACTCGTATCGTGTCATTGGCAATAGTCTGCCGCCTCTGCAAAATTAATGGGATCGTTCACGAGGATTTTCGCGTGCAGTATGTATGACTTTGCAATTGAATTTCCCGCGATCGATGTCCTGTCCTCGCGTTTAATAACAGCCTTCTCGTCGCGGGAAATTGTCCACCCCCTGCCCCCCGCCCGTCAAATGTGCCCCCGCTGTAATCGTCGGGATTTCGTTTATTAAACGGTAATGTCAATTTCGTCGTATATTTTTTACACGAAAACTCTCTACGCAACATCAGTCTCTACAGTGGTCCCAATAATTACAGAAATTTTTTTCATTGAAATTTTAATAATTTTTTTCATAATACTATTAATATGTATATATTAACGTAATAATATTTTTAATTACGTGGTATAGAAATTAAAACTAGAACTATCATGGGGGTTTATAATGACTTGTTTCGGACATTTTATTTTTGCGATTGTGGAAAATATACAGATTTTTGTGGGGGTTTATATATTTATTTAAGATTTTCTTTGTTGCTTCTTTGCTTCTTACGAAATGTGTTTGTCTCTTATGGTTCCATGTGATAGGCTAGTGTTCTATGGTGCTAGACTGTTGGTATCCATGTGGTCGTCGTTGCTATTGATAGGGTAGCAGTTCGAAGGACAATAGAAAAAGGAAGGGAGTTTCGTCCTAGGCACTACTAGTGGACTTATCAGTATGACTTTCTTCTAGTAGGCTGCAGGAATCCATCTATTAGGGGTGAGAACTTGGTCCCTGCATTTTGGTAAAGATTATACTGATTTTTGTTCAACTAGGATGACAGTTACATATCTTCTTTTATTTTTGTTATATCTTAATAATTAATACCAATTTGAAATTAACGGGTGTCCCAAAATTCTCGCAAGAATTAATAACTAATCGGTAATTCGGTAATTAATACCGAAGTAATACAACTTTAATCCTAAATATTTCAAAAACTATTGGGTAGTGTCGGCTATAATAATAATAAAAATCTACAAAGTTTCAATGAAATCGATGACCCAAAGGATTTGCATTCTCCTCGTCAAATTTAAGATTTTTCAAAAAGTGGAGTTAATCGATTCGTGCAGTGAACGGCTCATATATACCTTATACGTCAAGATAATCTATCTACAGCCTCTCGACGTCATCCGACGCTTCTGAAACTACCCTGCGGATAGGAGCAAAGCGAGAAGGAAGGAGAAGAAAAAGAATGGCGGGTAAAATAGAAGCGGAGGCAAGAATCGAAGCTTGCTGGTCGGGTAAATAAATTTATCGGTG